TTTTTTTTGGTTTGTTTTTTTTTTGGGGGGGTTTTCAATGGAAACTCCAGTTGCCTCTTTTCTTGCTTGGGATTTGAGACACCTTTCCAGCTCAGAGCCAAGCAAAACCCTCTGGGCTTTGCTTCCCTTTTCTTTGGTAGCTTCTTCCCCATCACTTCTGGTGTCCACTCCGCACTGGAAGCCGGGAGAGGAACATGCTTTCTTATCCAGGGAAAAGGTTCTGGAAACCTTCTGGCCCTCAGGCCAGGCTGGGTTGACGTCCTGCAGCCTTGGGAACGGGCAGAGGCAACCTTCACGTTTCTGTTGTTGTGCTGAAGGAGGCTGCTAGGCTTGAAACAAGCCCTTTTAATGTTAATTAATGTCGGGAGGTGGGATGCTCTGTCCACTTTGATGTGCCCCCCCTGGCAGAAAGCCATCTCCTGCAGCTCCCTGCCCTCTAGCAGATGGGTGGCCGTGGTGGAGCAGCACCAGGTGCCTCTGCAAGGCAGGGGAGGGAGGGTTTGCACCGTGAGTCCCTCATGGGATGTTTTTTTTTTGTGGGGGGAGGTGGTTGTGGTGTGTTGGCCACTCTGAAAGGCAGCAGTGACCCCTGCCATGGACTGGGAAGGCTTGGGCCACCAAGAGAAGGTGTCCCTGGCCCCCTTGGCTCTAGTTTGGGGTGATGCTTTGGGTTAGACCGACGCACAAGCTGGAAGAGGACCTTCCACTGCTGTTCTGAAACACATCAGCCTGGACTTGCTTCAAGAGGAAACAAGGCTTTCAAGGGCAAGTCCCCTTTTCCTAGGGTGGATTTTTGTTTTCAGGGTCCCTACCCACCTCCCCCTCAAATGCTGCTTTGCCTTTGTGAAGGGAAGGGCAGCCCCTGTCCCCCTGTGGGACGGAGCTGCCTCTGGGGTGCAGTTTGGTGGCCTTTGCAAGGCCAAGCCCCTGGGGCCAGACTGTGACTCGGAAGGAGGACCCCTACTCCACAGATACCGATGTAGATAGTTTTAAGCTGTTGTTCAGAAGAAACTTGCGGTAGCTCTCTTTGTGCAGCTTCCTGTCTTGTTAAAATTAAAGTTTTCTTTGGGAAAAAAAGTAGTGTTTGATAATTAATTTTCTATTAAGCTGGGCGATTCCCCACCAGGGCCATGAGTTCCAAGCCCTCAGCTCGGATGAAATGCAGGTGCTTCCTTGCTGCCACTCACGTAAAGCCTTGTGTTCCAGACCCAAAGGACAAATTTTAACCACGGTGAGGGACAACTAAAGGTCAGTAAATTGGCTTTTAATGGAGCTGGCTCTGCAGGCAGTGGGGAGTGGTAGCTCAGCCCTGGGCTGCAGGCATCTCTCCAGTGCCTTGGTGCATCCTCCTCCCTGCCCTGGCTGCACTCTGGTCCATGCTGAAGCACCTTCCCCATCACCAGGAGCCAGGACAAGTCACGCTGGCACCAGTATGGCCAGAGGAGAGCGCTGGGACTTACCACACTTCCACAGAAGGGTCTCACCCCACCTTCCATGAGGCACAGAGCTACAGGAGAATAGTCACAGACTCACATGGGGTTGGAAGGGATCTCTGGAGATGATAGTCCAATCCCCCTTCCAGAGCAGAATCACCTAGAGCAGGATCCACAGGAACATGTCCAGGTGGGTTTGAATGTCTCCAGAGAAGGAGACTCCACCACCTCCCTGGGCAGCCTCTTCCAGGGCTCTGCCACCCTCACAGCAAAGAAGTTCCTCCTCATGTTGAGATGGAACTTCTTACATTCAAGTTTGTGCCCATTTCCTCTTGTCCTGTCCCTGGGCACCACTGGAAAAAAGCCTGGCCCCATCCTCTTGACAGCCACCCTTGAAGTATTTCTGGGCATTGATCAGATCCCCCCTCAGCCTTCTCCAGACTAAAAAAAGACCCAAGTCCCTCAGGGTGAAGCGGTTCGAAGTCAGGCAGAAGCAACCAAGGGCCAGGAGACGAGGCAGAGGAGAAATTACCCAAGTCCCTCAGCCTTGGGGTGAAGCGGTTCAAAGTCAAGCAGAAGCAAACAAGGGCCAGGAGACGAGGCAGAGGAGAAATCATTTATTGGCACAGATGTTCCAACCATACACACCACAGCTCTGTCCCACCAGTGTCCCAGGGGGCAGAGGTAAGGGGTTATTGTACAGTGCAAGGGAGGGCCTGCTTCACACGGTTCAGGCCTGTAGCCTCTGCTCAGCAATAGACTTTGTGCTTTAAAAATTAAAAAAGAAAGAAAAAGAGAAGCTCTTTCACTATATTAGTGTTGGCAAATCACATGATTCCTCCTACACAGCTATTACACCTCCCCCCCAGTAACAAAAATAAGGTTTTCTTTCTTTTTCCTTAATGCCTGTGGCTCAGAAAAAAAACCACCCTGAACGTTTCAGTTGTGTGCAAGTTAGCGAGATACCTCCAAGCATCTGTGTGGGTTCCTGGGAGGCAGCAGCCCCAGGGAACATCCCTGGGTCTCTGCTCAGCATCACACCAGCTTTGGGCACAGCACCCTGGCCAAGACATGACCCACCAAGCTGCCTGGCCACCAGTGGTCTGCTCTTCCTAACGTGCTCCTAGATGCTTGGAGGCCATTTTGATCAAAAGCTCATGAAGCTCTGGCCAGGCCCTTCCCCTAAAAACCAATAACCCCAGACTACAGCAGAAAAAAACAACCCCAAAAAAACCAACCAAACCCTAAAAACAAATAAAAAAAAGCTGAGGAAGGAGTGGTTTAAAACAGCAGCCCAAGGGATGGAGCGGAGCAAGCGATGCACAAAGGACTTGTTGCAGGCAGGAGGGGCCTCCACGCAGCTCCGGCCAGAGCCAGCCCCACATCAAGTTTGTCAGTATTTTATCATTAACAGGTCTAAATTTAACCAATTAAAGGCACACACTAACATACCCTGCCCGTTTTAGGTGCCAACAGGCCAGACCAACCCCACCAGGGGTGGGCAAATCACGCCTAGCCACAGCTTCCTAGGAGGGTCCACCTCCACTGCCCCCAGCAAGTTCCTCACCCCAGCACAAAGCTACTGCTTTCCACCCCTCCCAGTAAAGAGACTGGGCTGGAAGGGGTCCAGGCTACCCAAATAACCAGCCAGCGAGCCCCCCACCCCAGCAGTCCTTTGAGCAGGGAACAGCTGTGACCCACCAGGAGCAGAGGGGCTTTGCAGACAGTGGTTCCACCTCCAGCTCCACCATACAATTAAAAAAAAAAATTAAAAAAAAAAGATAAAAAGCTTTAATAAAGTAACCTCAACTATAGTCTCTTAGAAATGGGGGGGGGTTCTGCACCCAGCCCGCTATCGGTTAAAAAGCATCGGGGGGACTTGGGATTATGAGTGGTTTGATGAAGAGGTCTACACCCTCTTCCAGTACTGCTCCGGCCTGGGGATGCCCGCCACGATCTCGGACTCGATGCCGCAGTGGTCCTCTCCTCTGAGGATTTTGAAGAAGCCTGGAAGCACACCAAGAGCAGAAGTCAACCTCCCCACATCACCCCCAAAAAACAGGGATGGGGTTCCCTCCAGCAGCCCCCATCCCCCTCCCAGAACCCGCAGGCAGCATCATCTCAGGGGTGGCCTCACCGTTGTCCCCCCAGTCAGTGTTCCAGGAGTTGGCGGCCAACCAGTAAGGAGTGCCGTTTTCCACCCCCCAGCCCAGGATCCGGATGGCGTGGCCTCCAACCTGCTCGCCAGACACGTGCTGGTAGACACCTGCAAGGCAACAAGCCAACAGGTCAACAGGTGACACGTCTCCTCCCACCCAAGGCGGCCGGCAGCCCGCGCGACATTCGATATCAAAGCCCAGAGACCAACTGAGAAGGGTTGTTTTGGTTTTTTTTGTGGTGAAATGGAAACCTGAAGCTCAGTGTAGAGTTTGGAGGAAAGGCTGATGCTTCAGCATCGCCTCAGCATGCAGGACACCCAGAGGCACTCGGCAAGGATCCCAGCGGTGACACATCCCAAGCAGTTCACAACGGGTCTCCTGGTGCGGACCCTCCATCTGCCAGTATTTTACCTAAAATCCTACCTGTTGCTTTCATTCTGGGGGCTCCCCATTGGGAGCTCCTCCCTGAGCCAGTGCCAAGCACCTATTCCCCTTGCTATAAACCAATGGATACAGGAGATGGTATCTGCCCATGTTCTTGCAACACCAGGTACTCAAGCGTGAACTTGAGATCTCCTGAGGGGAGACCTTCTCGCTCTCTACAGCTCCCTGAAAGGAGGGTGTAGAGAGGTGGGGGTCCATCTCCCAAGGAACAAGAGACATGGGTCAGTGATGGTTTTCGTTAGCGTTGGGTTGATGGTTGGATTAGATGACCTGAAAGGTCCCTTCCAACCTGGACAATTCTATGATTTGGACTTGAGTAGAGGGACAAGGGCCTCAAAAGACAGACCCTACGGATGATGTAGGGAACAGGGCTCCCCACAGCCTCAGTGCTGAAGCTCACCAGACTTGTACATCAGGAAGTCCTCATAGACAATAAAGGCTCCTTCCACCGGGCCGTTCTTGTAGATCTCAGCCATGATTTCGTTCTCACTGCGAGGGACACCGTAGGATGTGATGCCTATGGAGGAAAAAAGTCCCACCGTTAGTACAGCACTGTCAGGCCACACAGGTCTTGGGATGGCTGGACACGGCCCTGCAAGAGGCCTTCCCCACTTAAAGGTTACATTCAAACCCAGCTGCTCCAGAGGCACTGACCCAGCCAGGCAGGGAAAGTGGGTTCCAACCATCCCTTTTCTGGAGGGAAAGGTTTAACCTGAGTTCTATTCTGTACCCAAAGACCTATCTCAGACAGCTTCAGTGGGAAGTCTTCCCTTTGTACATCCTCATTTCCAAACCAACCCAAACGGGTTCCAACCATCCCTTTTCTGGAAGGAAAGGTTTAACCCGAGTTCTATCCTGTACCCGAAGACCTATCCCAGACAGTTTTCCCCTTGTACATCCTCATTTCCAAACCAACCCAAATTCCTCCAAGCTAAAAGAAATTTTCAAGCAGCAGCCAGGCTCTCCTACATGTATAGTGATGGCTACCACCACGGAGTAGGATGGAGGTGGCTTTGACACCAGACTTCCACAAGGCTCAGCACTGTGCTCTTCAACCCAGGGATGTGCACCATGAGGATCCACCTCAATTGAGTCTCAAGGAGCAGGATGGAGGTGGCTTTGACCCAGGGATGTGCTCTTCAACCCAGGGATGTGCACCATGAGGATCCACCTCAATTGAGTCTCAACAAATACAACCTGTGCATCTGCCAGGCTTAGGTTTGCTCCAGGACCACCCACCACCCTGAAGGCACAGCAAATAACCACCATAAAACAGCTTAGGAAGAAGTCCAACCCTGCCAACCCCACACCAAGCTACCACTAGGAGCAGCTCTGGAGCTGCTGGGCATGGAACAGTGCTGGAGGTGACCTCCCTTACCGTAGTGCTTGTCCTCCTTGTAGGAGGGTGAGTAGCCGGGTTCACAGTGACGGCTGCACCTGGGGGTTTCACCCCCTTCCCCAGTGCATGGTGGCCGGGATCCGTTGACGTGGTGCTCACAGGGTGGGATGGAGTAGGGACGGCAGCCTGTCGAGGACAGAAGTGGCATGAACCAGCTGTCCCCAAGCACCCCTGTCCCCAGCAGCCGTGTTGGAGAAGACCCCACTAAAGGCTAAGACCCTTCTGACCCAGAAACCCCACAGATGAATGGGGTGGGAGCAAGAGTAGGTCTGACACGGCCAGATGAGCAATCCCTGCATCAGCAATGGGTTTCCTCTCTGGACCTGCTTCCCACCACCTCCCTCTTGACAAGGTGGTGGACAAGATGGAAACAGGAACCAACTCACAGCCATACTAGGAGGAAGCAGAGGTTTCCAGAACCTTTTGGGGGGGGAAATATGTCGGGAAGACTCCTGCCCTCATCCAAAGTGTATTGAACTGGTCCAAAAACCAGCAACAACAGAAAATTCACAGCCTGATTCATTGCTGCCATGGAAGGAGGACCCCTGTGGTGGGAAAACATGTTGGGAAGACCTCTGCCCTCATCCAAAGTGTATGGAACTGGTCCAAAAACCAGCAACAACAGAAAATTCACAGCCTGATTCATTGCTGCCATGGAAGGAGGACCCCTGTGGGGTTGTTAAGTCTGACTACCATGCTTCCTTCCTGGATGGGTCTCTTGCCACTAGGTGCTGCTGGAGGGACCCTCCTCCCAAAGGGGTGACCAGAAGGGGCCATGGGGACAGGAGGAGCCAGCTGGAAAAGGAGAGGTGTTTGAGGCCAGACCTGAAGGAGGGAGCAACCACAAGGATGCAGAAGGACCCTGAATGCCGTAAAACCGTAACCGAGCAGAGATGCTCCCTCTTTGCTTTCACAAGGGTATCTCCCAGGACTTACCCACATGGGAATCGTAGAGACCTCCAGACACGAGGCCTCTCTCTGTCCAGTATCTCCACGCACCGGAGGGGTAACCACCATTGCACCTGGGGAAAGAGGCAGCAGTTCCAGCTCCAGCCTGCTCAGAGCCACCCCCTTTTGGGGAGAAGAGAAGGAAATGGAGCCAGCTTGGGACGGCTGCAGGGAAGGTGTCAGCACATTGAACCTTTATCAGTCTCTCTCTGCCTTCCCCAAGATTTCTAGACCTCGAGACACCAAAGCCTCGGGGCAAAGAGGAGCTAAGAGCATCCATGCCTCCAAATCCCAAATCCTGCCTCCTTACCAGGTTCCTGGTCAGCCTCTGCTGCAGAAGCCACACATCTTGGAGACCCAGCTTCCCCCCTTGCTCTCAACAACTGCAAAAGCCACAGGCAAAAGGCTTGTGCCCGAAAAACCAAGGCTTGAGGGCTACTAAAAGATTCTTCCTTTGGCTTCAGCAGCTGCCAACTCTGTACAGGAAAGCATCACCACGTGCTTGCCCTCCCTCCACCATCCATCATCATCCTGCTGGAGGCAGGATGTGGCCCCGAGGGGCTTTCAGTCCACGCAGTCACCCTAATATTCCCACCTAACTCCAGCATCTGCAGCACAAACCACTGGTGGGGCTTCCCGCTCATCAGGGAGAGTAAGGAAGACAGAGCTGAAACCATCAGCATCTCCGGGTTGTGCCCCTGCTCCTCCCACCCACCTTTTAAGTGCAGAAGAACCAAGAGCAGCTCACCCCATGCCACACTCGAAGCCGCAGCACGACAGCAAGTCCTCTGCTGAGACCTCCACGCTCACCTTGGCGTTGGTGTGGACACAGATCCTGTCCGAAATGGCTTCTACAGCACCAAAAGCCTGCAGGTAACCCCAAAAAAACCCAAGGGAAGACCATTAGAGCCAGCCACGGGAGAAAAACCTTCTGGCAAAGAGCACAGCAAGCATGAGCCTGATTGGGAGAAGCCCATCGAGAAGCTCAGACACTGCAGGATCCCTCAAGTCCCCCCATTTATGCAGCTCAGTAGCAAATTCAACAGCATGTTATTTTGTCCAGCAGACTCTGTATCAACACGACCTTAAACCGCCCGTGCTCTTACCCAGCAAGAGCCACAAGAGCCCTGGTCTCTTATCTCGTTGATGGTAGGACAGTTAGGCCACTGTGTGCGTGCATCAAAGTTATCGGGCAGCTCCATGTCTGCAGCAAAACCCACCCTGCAAGTGAGAAGAGGGAAGGTCCTGTTAGAGAAACACCAGGACTGGGTGTGCAGGACTCTCCAGCCTCCTCTGAAGATGACCTGGAGGAGGAGTGCTCTTGCTGTTTGCTTACTGAAGGGGAATAAATATTTCTGAAGTCCTCAGACCAGGTCAGCAGCTCCTCCAGTGTTTTGAGTTTCCAGGAGCACAAGTTACTGTGACTGGACAAGCATCTGACAGGACAGAGGATGGATGTTCCCCACCCCTCATGCTTCTGCGTTCAATTCCATGCAAGATGTCCACCAAGCTGCACCCAGGGGAACCCCACTCATAGCCTGCTGAGAGGCCCTCACCCACTCCAGACACACCTGGAGCGTCCACACAAGCTTTTACTGGGCCCTCATCTTCTCCTCCCACCACTCACCTCTCAGGGAGCTTGGGCCCACCCAGGAAGGTACCACAGAGCTTCTTCACGTAGCTCATGTCAGTGTTGCGGAAGTTGTGTCCTGCCTGGGAAGAGACACAGAGAAATGGGACTTGTTCCTTCACAACCACCAAGTGATATCTCTGGGACCAGGCTGGTGCTCCACATCTCCCTCAAACCCAACCAGCATCTGACACTTGCTATGAAACCCAGGGGCCAAGAGCCAAGCTACCTATAGACACAGAACACAGCCCCTTCCAGGATCAGTGTATCATGACCAGTAAGCTACGGTCCAACTCTTTGGCCACAGCAGCCTGGCCAAGGAGGTCACCAGTACAGCTTGACACTTGTTGCTTGTTTCCAGCCTCCCACAGAGTTTCCTCCTCTTAGCATCACTCCTACTCTACAAATTCCTCAGTGCTCTGCTCCAAAGAGGAGAAGCTGACCTCTGACAGCATCAACTCACTGGAGAAGACAACTGGGACCAAGGCTGGTTTGATGCAACCACCATGGCGAGACTCCCAAAGCTTAGTTATTGAGCCCCATGAAGAGACTGTTGAGCAACGCACGCCCCCCCAAAAAAACCAACCCAAAACCAACCCAGTACTCACCTTCCAGGTGGTGTTGAGCTTGTTTATGTGGTTGACCAAGTCGGTGGAGAGAGGAGGGTAGTAAGGAATGCTGCGAGCATTGGCAAAGGCCGCCAGGACACACAGGATGGCCACGGAAGTCCACATCTTGGCGAGAGAATGGGACACTCCACCTGCAGCCAGATTTGGGCATCGTTGGAAACCTTCCCAAGATGGGCTTGGACCACGAGCGAGAGCTTGGCAGAAGGACCGTCGGAGCAACACGTGGGAGGATAAAACACGTGGCTGCACGAAGTCCTTCCCAATCCCGATTTACCCCAAAGGTCAGGAGAGACACAGGAGAGGACTAATAACCCCCCTCCTGCAGCTCAGAAGAAACCAGACAAGGCAACCCTGTTTGTTGACCACTGTGGGATTAGTGGCAGCAGGAAAATACCTTTTGAAGCAGATCCAAGGGATTTGGAGGGTATTAAAAGCCGTGTTTACTTCCACAAAGATGGAGAATAAGGAGTAGGAGAAGGAATAAGTGACACCCCACCTTCATGGCAAACTGCACCCTTGGGGAATTGCTAGTCCCAGCCCTGGTGTAATGCTCTTCCCTTTGAAGGCATCACTCCAAATCTCATTTTTGGACTTTATGGCCTCATTTTTGGCCAGCCCATTGCCCTGGGGGCACCGACTGGGTTCACAGCCCTGGGGTGGTGACCCCCTGCCCACGCAGAGGGTCGTCCATGCGCACCAGAGCTGCCCGTGCTGCCCTCCCACCAGAGCTTCTCAAGAGGGAGGCTGTGAAACCAGGTCTCTTGGTGCAAGGCACCAGGAAAGTCCCAGTCTGGGGAACAGAGAGGCAGGGGAAATCCAGAAACACAGCAAGAGGGGACCACAGCCTCTCCCCGAGGAGCACAAGCACCACCCAGCCCAGAGATGCTCCAGGGCTTGGTGGTTTCTCTGCTCTCCTGCCTGTTTCAACCTAATTCACATTAAATTGCTCAATTCCAATTTAACCCCCAATGCCAGCTTGCTCCACGTCCCCACGCCTGACTCAGACAGGCCACGAGCTGCTCAACCTCTGCAAGCACAGCAAGGCATCCTCAGCAAACCCACCCGAGGCACCCTCACCCTCTGCAAACCCACCCCAGAGCACTCTCATCCTCTGCAAACCCACCCCAGAGCACCTCCATCCTCAGCAAACCCACCCCAGGGCACCTCCATCCTCAGCAAACCCACCCCAGGGCATCCTCAACCTCTGCAAACCCACCCCAGGGCATCCTCAACCTCTGCAAACCCACCCCAGGGCACCCTCATCCTCTGCAAACCCATCCCGAGGCACCCTCACCCTCTGCAAACCCATCCCGAGGCACCCTCACCCTCTGCAAGCCCACCCCAGAGCATCCTCAACCTCTGCAAACCAATCCCAGGGCACCCTCACCCTCTGCAAACCCATCCCAGGGCACCCTCACCCTCCAAGACCTCTCAGCTCCCCTTCCACCACCCCCACGTCCACCCCAATGACCATCAAGCCTGGTGAGCAGCCCAAGACCTCGGCTAATCCACGGCAGCCCCAACCGTGGAGATATTTAGGCTTTAATTGCGACTCATCTCAGCCAGCTGAAGGTGTCATCACCTTTGCAAGCCTGGGCTTTAAACCCTTCTGGGCAAAAGAGCTGGACACGAGGCTCTCACCAGCAGCAGCAGCAGAGCTTGCCGGGCAGGAGATGGGGACACACACACACACACACACACACACACACATTTCCATGCAGGCTGCCTCCACCCACTCGCAGCCAAGTTTAGCCTTTCCAGAGAAAGAAAACCCAGCAGGAGTTGTCCTACTTTCTGCCAGCGACAAGCCCAGGCGGCTGCAGATAACCGTATCATGGGGCTTTTTTTTCCTTCCCACCCTCCGTGCTTCCAGCAAGATGCTCAGCCCCAAAACTGGTTGAGTTCCAGCAGCACGTGTGTCCTCCCACCCCCAACTCTCACCTTTTTGAAGGAGTTTTATGCCTATTTGCTCGCTTAGAGGTTTCTTGTAGACAAGGGACCTGCTGGCATTGCTGGTGGCCCCGCTGGGCTCCCTTGCTTGTGGAACAGGAAGGAGGTGACACCCAGCAAAACAAATATGTGTTTCTCAGGCTGGTGTGGTTTTCTACCTCGTGCCCCATCCACATGGCCATAGAAAGGTCAGGTTGGACAGGGCTTTGAGCAACCTGGTCTGGTGGGCCAGTGTTTTTTCAGTGGTGCCCAGGGACAGGACAAGAAGAAATGGACACAAACTTGAATATAAGACGTTCCACCTCAACATGAGGAGGAACTTCTTCACTTTGAGGGTGGCAGAGCCCTGGAATGGGCTGCCCAGAGAGGTGGTGGAGTCTCCTTCTCTGGAGACATTCAAAACCCTCCTGGACACGTCCCTGTGCGACCTGCTCTGGGTGGACTTGCTTTGTCAGGAAGGTTGGACTAGATGCTCTCCAGAGGTCCCTTCCAACCCCATGTGATTCTGTAGTGGGAGATGTTCCTGCCAAGGGGGTTGGAACTAGATGGTCTTTAAGCTCCCTTCCAACCCAAACCATTCTATGAAGCCTATAGATGACAGGCCTGAGCTGAAGCACCTTTTCTGATGGTTCTTTTTTTTTTTTTGGAAAAAAAAATAAATTCAAACCACAAACTCAAAGGCTCTGTACTTGTGCAGTCAGCTTTATATTTTCTGTAGCGCAGAAAGAAGGTGGTTTGGGGGCCAGAAGCCACCAGCTACACTTTTGCTTTCGGCAGGACGCCTGTGACTCTGCAGAGATCTCACATCTCCCGCCTACAGGACCCCCCAGCTGCAGGCAACCCGAGAATAAACCGGAAAAAAAGAAAAAAAATAAGATACCAAGCGGTTTCCCCTCCGACACACGCTGGTGTTTTGAGCTCCTCTGCACTGCATCCGCCCCAGCCAGCCCCCCAAGAAGCAGCCAGACATCACCCAGCGTCACCCAAACAGCTGGGAGCCAGCCAGTCGTTGCAGGGAAGAACAACAGCATCACATGGGGTTGGAAGGGACCTCTGGAGAACATCTAGTCCAACCCCCCTGTCAAGCAGGGCCACCCAGAGCAGGTCCCACAGGAACGTGTCCAGGTGGGGTTTGAATGTCTCCAGAGAAGGAGACTCCACCACCTCTCTGGGCAGCCTCTTCCAGGGCTCTGCCACCCTCAAAGTGAAGAAGTTCCTCCTCATGTTGAGATGGAACTTCTTATGTTCAAGTTTGTGCCCATTTCCTCTTGTCCTGTCCCTGGGCACCACTGGAAAAAGACTGGCCCCATCCTCTTGAGACCCACCCTTGAAGTATTTATAGGTGTTGATCAGATCCCCCCGCAGCCTTCTCTTTTCCAGACTAAAAAGACCCAAGTCCCTCCTGCTCTACCCTCTGCAGCAGCTCCCTGTCCTTCTGGAACTGGGGAGCCCAGAACTGGACCCAGTGCTCCAGATGGGCCCTCCCCAGGGCAGAGCAGAGGGGCAGGATGACCTCTATTGACCTGCTGGTCACACTCTTCCTGATGCCCCCCAGGATGCCATTGGCCTTCTTGGCAACCAGGGCACATTGCTGGCTCATGGGCATCCTGTTGTCCACCAAGCATCCCAGGTCTTTCTCAGAGGTGCTCTCCAGCAAGCCAGCACCTGTACTGGTGCAGGGGGAAGAAGCCTCTTGCCAAGTTTCCCACGGGCACAGAGCCTCCCCATGGGTGAGTTTGGGATGTTCAGCCTGGAGAAGGCTGTAGGGAGACCTTAGAGCCCCTTCCAGTGCCTATAGGGGCTCCAGGAGGGTGGGGAGGGACTCTGGATCAGGGAGGGGAGCCCATTTTAAACTAAAAGAGGGAAGATTTAGGTTTAGATATCAGGAAGAAACTCTTTACAATGAGAGTGGTGAGAGCCTGGGCCAGGCTGTTCAGGGAAATGGTGGGATGCCCCATCCCTGGAACCATTCCAGGTCAGGGTGGACAGGGCTCTGAGCAACCTGATCTCGCTGAAGGTATCCCTGCTCATGGCTGGGGAGGGGGGGCTGGACTAGATGCCTTTTAAAGGTCCCTTCCCACCCAAACCATTCTATGAAGTCTCCTAGGGCATGAAGCCTGGGGAGGAGGGGGAGATGGAGCATCTCAGCTGGATGGCAGAGAGTATCACAAGATGGAGAAGGAAGGAAGGGGAAATCCTTGATCTCATGTGATTTCTTCCTCCCCCCAGGCCAGCTCTTGGGCTTTAGCAAATGCCCCGTGCACAGCAGACCTATATTTAGAGAGCACGCAGGCACGGGACCAGCAGGATGGATTTCCACCCCCAACAAGTCACATGCTGACCCCAGCAGGCAAGAAAAAGCCTGTTGGTTTTCACCATCATCCCCCTTGACACCACCCCCCCCACCCCCCAGCACCCCTATCTCCTCCGCACACGCCTTCCTCCCCCCAAAAACCCCACCAAAGCAGCAACACCAAAACCAAACTTGCATAACCCGACCAATAACGTGTTCTTCTTTCTGCAGGGTGAAAAAACCAGGGGAATTTCTCCATCAACCCCAGGAGATACCTTCCTTTTGCACCCCTCTCCCACCCCCCCCAGGTTTCTGGAGGTGCCCCAAAGCTTCAGGACAACCCTGGCAAAGGCCATCTTCACAGGTCACATCCCACCACAGCTGATTAGCTTGAAAAGAGAAGCAAAGCTCAGCTCTTGGACTTCTTAAGACATGGCAGCAAACTCTCCAGACAACAGGAGGGTTCTTGGGGCTTTCAAATAGCCCCCTCCACCCCCCACAAGAGCTGCTCCACCTTCTCTCAGGCTGCAGACAAGTCCCCATCCCTCTGCTTTGGAATCCAAAGTATCTGGTGATGCAGTTTCATACAACCATAGAACGGTTTAGGTTGGAAGGGACCTTAAAGATCATCCAGTTCCAACCCCCCTGCCATGGTGAGGGGCACCTCCCACTACACCAGGTTGCTCACTTTCTTGAAGGATGAGCAAGAAAGGACTCCAAAAACCTGCTACCCACCAGCACACCTGACCCCAGGGCAGGACTCTCACAATTCAGCCAGCTGGTTACTTAAAAAAAAAAAAAGAGGAAATTTTGGCCTTCTGACCTCCCAGGCAGCGAGGAGGAAGCTCTGAGGCTGAAGGCTCTCTGAGATGAACTGCTGGGAGCAGCT